CAGCCGCTGCTTCGCTTTTCGCGGCCTGCTAAGGACCCCAATTATGCCACCTCTTTATTATTTTTTCTTGGTGGCGGTCCGCCGACGCTCGGTAAAAACTGCGAGGCACCCTCTCCGACCTTCCGGTGCAAGCGGGCCCGGGGTGGAGGTGAGGGCGGGCCGTAAAGGGCGGGGCCGGCGCCGCCGCCACCGCGGGGCCCGTAAGTGGAGCGACGGACGCCCCGCAGCGCCTGTGTGCGCCGCTCCTGCGCCGCCCCGCCGCCCGCTCATGTGAATATCCATGGTCCTCGCGCCGCTTGCAGGCCCCCGCTGGGGCCCGGAGAGCACTCAAAGTGGGGCAGCGAAATTCTTGGCGCTCCGTGCCGCTCGCAGTGCGCGCCGAGATTAAGTATGTCGCGGGCCGCCTGATTAGGGAAGCCGGCGGGGCGGAGCTGGGGAGGGGCGGGAGCCTGTCTACGCGGCGGCCGATCGAGAGCCTGGGCGAGGGTGACGGGAGGGTGGGAGCGGGGTGACCGGTCGGAATGGCAGCGGGAGCGGGCGGAGACGTGTGAAGAGCGGTTCGTGGAGCAGTGAGTGAGCGGTTGGGCGGAGGGAGCGGGGAGGAGCAACGAGATCGTGGGACGTCGAGGTGTGAGGTGGTGGGCGGGAGAGTGAGGGCAGAGGACCAGCGGGAGCGGGCAGGCGGGAGGAAGGCTCGGCGAGGGATTCGGGGCGGTGGACCGAGGGGCGTCGTGGCGGTGGGCGGCAGCGCGCGGACGGGATTCGCTGGACGTATGTGTCTTAATGGGTGAACGCAACGAGGGTGTGGGCAATGCAGCAATGCAGAGGAAGCAGGCAGGGCGGCAGGACGGTAAGCGGAAGATGTGAGAGTCCGGGGGAAGCGGCGGTGGTCAGTGTAGGTGCGGTGCCGTAGGTGTCGGCCGTACAAGTTGTATTGGCAGAGCCGGGGGTGCCTGGGTTAAAGTTCGATTGATCGTTTAGCACATTGGTGCTTGATATAGAACTGGCCGCGTGAGATGCGGGTGCATCCGGCGGGTTTGGCACGACTGATCGTCTTATCGAACCGAGGACGAAGGTGACAGTGGCACGTGCCCGCCGGATGGCGGAGTCGGTTCATGCTGGTTGACGTTTTAGTGAGCGGCATGGTAGATATTACGGTGTTTGGAGGCTCAAGGGGTGACAGGACGCATCGTGCTGTTCGAGTTACGCGCAATAAGCGCTAACTGAATTATTTTTGCCAAAGGCGAGCTGCTCGCTATTTTGGGAAACTAAAAGTTTCATTCTGGCTTCGTCTATTCTTTTAACTTTTTTTTGGAACGGACCGCGCTGCAAGAGTCGGCGGTGCTCTTAATGAACAATTTCTTCGCTCTATCCCAACGACTTGTCCAATACAGCACCTGTATAATTCATTTTTGAATTCAGGGTCGTCTGAAGTGTTTCAGTGGAATGTTCTTTTTCGTTAAATTAGAACTATCTGTAGAACGCTTTGGTTATTTATTCTTTGGTTTGCCTAAAATTTTTCACGCGCATTATGGCATGTTTGATTCATTATACTATAATTTGATATCAACTGTTTATTAATGGTCATTGGGCTTAATATATTTTAATATTATATTTTGATCATGTCTTAACGACAACGAGCAGAACGTGACAAGATGAGGAGACAGAATCAAAAACGGACAGTAGAACCAGTAATCTGCTACTTATAATTTGTAGCGTTATCTTGTAGTTTGTAATGTTTTACTTCGAGGTCGTTGTGTGAATAAAGTTATTCTGCATATCATCCCGCTCTATATCCATCGAAACAAATTAACCTTTTTTTAATAAGAAATAATATCTCTATGCCCTTAATAATTTTAAACAATTTAAAAAAAATTTTCATATGTGTCAAACATAATCTATTTTATACTTTATAGCATACTACAACTTTCTGAGGTATGTAGTTAATCATGTTTTCCTACTTTTCCAAGAGTGATATGTATAATAAGACCAGTACATTTTCAAGTTGTTTTCGCATTTTATTAATATCGTACTTGAAAGTAATTACCTCTATCTATTGTAATTCCTTACGTATAATCTCAATTTTCTATCTATTTTTATAAGATATACATCAATCTTAGAGTTATATTAGTTTATACAATGGGTATATTACGATTAATCCATATAAATTATTAAGATTTTTAACCTTATAGTTCAGTTGTTATTCATACACGTTACTCTGGTTGATTAGTTACATTTTACTACCATGCATGATCTATAAAGTTGTTCTTATTATTTTCAAAAGTCAAAGGCAGCTACACTTTTTGAAAGTCCTGTCATTGAGAGAAGCAATGATAATTTTTAGGGTTTTAACAGCACATCGACTTTTTGTTAAATTTAACAAGTATCCTGTAGTACTACCCAAAAGGTAATCACAGTTACAGATGGTTCCTTTCAGTCGCTACTCACTCGGTGTTTTTTTGTGTGTCTGCTCAGTAAGTTTTTACGCTTTGGGAAATCGAAGTCTCGTGCGCTTTGCTTCGCAAAGTTGCGAGCACAAACAAACTCCTTCGTAGGGTCTTCCTAGTCGTCCAGTTGCTGCCTAATGGAGCTACACTTGCTAGCACGCGTCGAGTGGCCATAATAAATAAAGTAGCGGCCACGGCAGAGCTTTTCATTATTGACTCGATCGCTTAGGCGGCGGCGGCGGCTCTAGCGACTCTGGCTTGTCCTCGTCTCTCTCATATTGTGCTTTTAAATACCAACGGTCGCCCCCTCTTTACCCTCCGATCGCCCGACCTGCTTTCCGCCCCGCATCGCCGCCGTCATCCTCTCTCGTCGCAAACAGCGCGTAATTACGGGATCGACTTTTCGCACTTTCAAATAGGCGCTTGCGAGCTTCCCCTGGACGCTCGCCGCCATGCTTGCGTCCGCTGTGAGCCCATGCGCCTTTTCTTGAGCGACCTGCTCCTCAGACTCGAATCGTGGCTCAGATTGTACAATTTTGTCCTGGCTACATCCTTTTTACGGGATGTGTCTTAGTGTTGGCTTCGATGGTATCTGAACCTTTCTCGACGTCAAGACTTAGTATTGACAGCTAGGTCCCTTTAACCAATTATTGTCTAAGGAGAATGTTTCTAGCAGTTTTCGATTGCAGCTGATCATTATTTTTTTTTGTCCTGTACAATATTTTGGCAGTTTTGCTTAGAGCCGTTAATATCTAGAATAGCAAGAAGTGATCTCGTAGAGTGATTATGCTTTCAGCCGTCTCACGATCTTTGTTTTTGGCCTCAATGGCTCCTTTTAGGCGATAGCGAACCTGTAACCTTTGGCTTCTAAGACTTTAAGCCTCAGTTTATGCCTCATATTTTGACTCTGTGCTTCTCCCTTGCCACGAAAACATCTCCTTGGTACCGCTGACTAAGGATTCTTCTCCTTTTTCCTTTAGTATTTCTTATCATATTTCCATGTTTGTACTTATTTTTTCGACACTGATGCTCTCACAGCACTCTCTCTTCACCAACGACCTCGTAATTTGGCAAGATCTAGCTGCTTTTGATTGGTTGTTTCCATATCTGGGTTTCGCTCGAGCAATTCCAAGAGATTATGCTCGGCACAAGGACCTTGAATACAAAAGACAGGAGATTTCCCACGCCTAACGTAAGCTTATTTTTCAGGCCTTTCATCCATGTGCCCTTGTTTCCACGTTTTCCT